GCAAGGAGATATGCAAATTATGCTGGAACTACGACTTCTTTTCCCCTCTGACATCAAAGGATACATTTTTTTATCATTTGTTTTGTAAATCTATTCAATTTTCCAGAGAGGGCCTATTTACAAGCCGGTGAATATAAAACTAAAACTCTTGGGCACACCACTGGAGTTTCTCTCTCCCTTGCATTTATATTTAATAACTTTATTTTTCCTCTTCCTTCCCCATCCTTATTCGGTCTTTCTTTCTTACCTCCTGGTGTGATATTCCTCCTGTCTTGTTTTCTCAGACTTTGGGTTTTTTCACTTCCCCATGTTGGAGCAGTTTTTCATACATTATTCCCTGTACACTTTTCCTTGCGTCGTTAATTTTCAGCACTTTATAGACTCTAGAGTTTGCCTATGGCCTTGTTTTTTTTGGTAGGCTCTCAGGGGGGTCCCGCTTTAACCACACATTAGACCCTTATGCTGCCCTTATTCAAGTAATTCCACTTTTATGTGATGGCATTTGTGAGGCTTACAATGGAGTTTTACCTCACTTTCTCCTACCTACAGTATTTACTGTTATTGTTACCAACACATTTGTATATGTACTCTATTTAAAATGGAAAATAGAAATATGTGTCAGTTCCAGTATTCCTTATTGTGGTTAAACGTGGCATACACCTTATGGTTTATCCCAACCTTTTTGAATTACGTATCACTATACTGATTTTTTATTTTCCTGCTTAAAAGATAGGTTTATCGCATTAATCTGCATTTCCATATGCACTGTATTACTCTTGGGAACATAACCCAGAACAAGGGTTGAAATTTACAATTGCCCACTTGCTACTGGTGAGTAAACCTGTAGCCCTGGTAAGTTTCCAATGGATCCTACAAACTTGTAGTGGAGAGTAACTATTTGGTTTGACTAATAGCATAGGGCATAAACTTTTCAGCCTTGACCTAGAATGTTATTGAAAGTCTTAGGCTGTAGCTTGACATAGACCTCTGTGTGGGGTTCCAATAAAAGTAAATTTTGAGCATTGGAGTGCCTGGACCATCTTCTTTCTATTTAACTTGCTAGGCTTGCGTTGGCCCTGGGTCGGGGACTGGTAAAGCACCCAATTTAGCTCATGTGGTTTGAGTGCAGTTCCTTTTTCTTCTTTTGACTAATAGCATGAAATTTTCAACCTTGACCTAGGTTGTTATTCAAAGTCTTAGGCCATTCTACAAGCTAATGAGGACCAAAAAGTCTTTGAAAATTCCAAAAAATAAAGTTATTAAAAAAAAAAATATATATATATATATATATATATGTTATATATAATTTTAGACAATCTCAATTTCTAGCTGCTTTAAATACATACAAACCCCTGCTTCTGCGAAGAGAGATAGCTAAAGTAACATTTTTGTAATACTACAGTTCATACGAAGTATGTTATTGTCTTTGTGTTATAACTTTTAGACAAGTGTGTCATATTGTTTGACAAAACAATTTATCTTAGTATCATGTGAATCAGTCACTAGATATTTGCATTATTCTGACAAGTATGTAATTTTGTTTGACAAAATATTTACCTTTGTATCGTGGCGAATAGTAGTTACTGTTGTTATCACTTCTACTTTCTTCTTCTTTTCTTCCTCCTCATCTTTCTCTTCCTCAGCCTTTTTCTCTGGTGTTACTGTTGTTATCAAGTTGGTTTGAGAGATGCCCTTTGCTGTGATATATGGCCCGGTACCCACCTCTGTGGCAGACATAGAATCCTTCATGTACATGTCATGGTTTTCATTCACTGATGCTAAAAGCAAATATGATATTTGGGATAAAAATGATAACTGAATATGGGATGGTGTGTTAAAAGCAAACAAAAAAAGTGGCTGAAAATTAAATCCATATTTGAAAATATGGATTGCAATGAATCCAAAAGATCTTTATACTACACTTTACAAAATGGTAAAAGGTGGCTTAAAATTATGTGAAATGCATTTCAAACGTATATAGCCTTGATGAATAGAATTGACTCATCTAGCCTTCCTATTTATTTTTAAAATTTAGAGGTAATGCAGATAAGTTTAACAATTGTCCTATGCATGCTCCTTGAAGGGAAACTCCAGACGTCAGAACTCTATTAGCCTACAAGAGTTTTTCTTACTTGAGTTTTGATTTTTCTCAGCATTATCGTACACCATGTTTTGGCTTATTATGCCAATGTCCTGTTCTGGACATTAATAAACGCTCTACTATACTAAATACTACAAGATAAAAGTTGGTTTGCTTCTTAAAGTGACTTGAAGAAACGTTTAGGGCTATGGTGCCAAGAAACACGTTAATCAGATTAATTATTGCAGATTTGTGTTTTTATGTGCAGTTGTGTTATTCTATCTCAGGTACAGCTTGTTTTTCTTCTTTCGGAATATGGCAGTTGAAATAGATAGTATGTTATGGCGTTAATTACTGCAAAATGTGATATTCAATTACTAATGATGCAAGCACTGTGACAAAGAAAAGAAAGGAAAAAAGGACGGGGGACATTTGTTTTGGCACAAAATGAATACATTTGCTAGGTTACCACTTCCTCTGCACATTGGTTAAGGGATGGCCAAATCATAGGATGACAATGCAAAGAGCCAGCTTCACATGCAGAGGTGTCACACACATTTTATATTTTTGCTTTCTTTATTTTATTTTACAGGAAGATTCATTATTAATGCTAGAATAGGCTCACATCACAAAGAAAACAAATTAAAGTGGCTCTGTCATCAGGACTTTTATTTGCACAATTAAGTAGTAAAATCTGTGAAATTGTCGGGTTTTTTTTAAACTAAAATTACTTCTGCAATTTACATCATCAAGCAGTTCCAACACTGCATTTTCTCCCCATGCGTGGTGAAAACAAAGCAGAGTTAATCAGTTCGACCCAGGTACTAATACACTGTTGATAGGAGAGACTATCAGATGATTTTTATTGTTCTTTTGTTATGGTGACTCTGATTGAGTCAGGGAAACTAGAGTTTGGCTGAAACGTGTACGGTTTTGTTAAACTACTCTGCTGGGAATAATGTCTTAAATTGATTCATGCAAATAAATGAAGGTAACAGAACCTCTTTAACGTTAATTGTTTGAATAGAGACATGTCTACAAATACTTCATGCAAAAAATATCTTAATTCTCGTTTTGTGGTGTGTTTATTTTCTGACTTATTTGCATTGTTTACTGGATTACAATATTCAACTTTAAAGAATAAACACTGTAAATTTTGTTAAAAATGATCTATATTAGGGTTGTCAAACTCTATCCCCATAGATATTTGAATTCTGTAAAGAGTGAATATAGGGAGTAGTAATCCAACAACAGAGGCCGGGGAACTTTGATAACCCTGATCTATATAGCATAATATATTGTGAGTTGTATATATTTAATTTTTTTTTGCCATGTACTCTATCTGTAACGCAGTATCCAATGCATTACAAAATGATTAATTTGTAAATCGTGCTCCAAGATGTGGAACATGGCAACAAAAGTAATATCCGTTTTTTTCTTTATAGCTATTTGTCAGCAACTCTGGTATACCCAACACATAAATTGTTTTCTATGAAGATAACCTTTTTGAAGAAAAAAATTCAGTCGAGCGGAAGGGGACAAAATAATGTTGATGAAAGTAAACTAATAATTTGGACCAATTACAGTGACATTAGAGCCTGTCCATAGCAATACAAAAATATGGTGTAACGTTTCACCCCCAGCCTACCTTACATGATAACACACTTGCTAAAGCTGAAAAGATCTTGCTCCCACATTAAGACATTGTGGATAATTGTTTTCAAGATGCCTAGACCTTCTTTAAACCAAAAGCTTTCAAACTCCAGTTAGAAGGACCAGTGAAGTTTGTCACCAAAGTAAGATAGAGAAACTATCACATGCTGAAGGCTGACATATTATAGCAGGGGTGGAGAAGAAGGGGATCTGATAGATAATTTATGAAGCACCAATGCTAGGAGAGTCTGCTACTGTTTTTTTAGAAGCTAAATTGTTTATCTATTAAATGCTGTACAATGTTACCTGATGGAAAAATACACATTAAACATACTCTTAAAAGGTGTCCAGCATGCAGCATTAGTACGTTTGGTGCAGAAACGCCAATATTAGTATTTGTTCAGACATGACTCTTACACAGTAACTACTAATTTCTGTCATAAGAAGTTATAAAATGCTTCTTACCTCCATCTAAACTTCGAGACATTGTATACCGCTTGCTAGAAGAACGCTCAAAATAGGGGGCAGGGCGGTCAATGAGTGCACTGGCTCTTCTTGTCTGAGCCTGCGTCCTACCACTGTAGCGGAACTTTGAACCCAACGCAAGGAATTTCTTGGGAGGAGCCTCTGGTAACAGCAATCTGTTAATCAAAAATTCTACCAATTTAAATTTTTTTGGGGAAAAAAGCTGATCGAGTTAAATATGCCAGCTCAGCTATAGTTGTAGTTTAGCTAAATTAGACTCAGTTTTGCAATTCATATTTTAATTACATACAACTTGGAATATAGCGAATAACCCTGGAAGTATTTATCTACTACTTTCTCAAAGTCTGGAAGTGCTGATGTAGATGGATTATACACTATACACATCAGCAAGCATGTCTAGTAAGTAGGAGACTTGCTTAGAGATTATAGTGAAATGAAAAACGTTCATGCCAGCAAGTACGTAAAATAGCACAAGCTGACTGAAGAGTTCTTCATTATTTAATGGGCTGAAAAGTTCGGCATAGTTTTTTTTTTTTGTTCCACATTTTTGTTTTTCAACTATTTTTGTTTCTGGGTGGCTTTCATTTTTAATCATTTATGTCAGGTTATTATGGTTTCTTTTGTGCACAATTTTAGTTTATGAAAATCTATCTATATAACCACTGACAGGTCAGTAGTAGTGATGTCCCGAACGGTTCGCCGCGGACGGCGAACATATGCGCTGTTCGGTCCGCCCCCTATTCGTCATCATTGAGTAAACTTTGACCCTGTACCTCACAGTCAGCAGACACATTCCAGCCAATCAGCACCAGACCCTCCCTCCCAGACCCTCCCACCTCCTGGACAGCTCACTAAGAATGCAGCTTCACAATGAATGTAAAATGGATGCTGTCCAGGAGGTGGGAGGGTCTGGGAAGGAGGGTCGGCTGCTGATTGGCTGGAATGTGTCTGCTGACTGTAAGGTACAGGGTCAAAGTTTACTCAATGATGATATAGGGGGCGGACCGAACAGCGCATATATTCGCCATCTGCGGCGAACCATTCGGGACATCACTAGTCAGTAGTAATGTATTTTTTTACTTTATACTGGGTAGTTAAATGATTAAAGACAGAATTAGGTAAACCTTTGAGGGATTAGTGGCTAGGGGCTAGAAGACCCCTTTGCCCCCCAGTGGAGGTGGTGGTGTTTTTTTTTTTTACAGTTTGATTTATCATTAGGGCCAGATGGATTAAGCACCCACTGACACAAAAAGAAATGATAAGGGCTTGTGTACCCTCTGACTCCATAGGTAGTAGATATCCCCTGGTCCTCTTATTATTTGGATAGTCAACCTTATTTTGTGTTTTTGTTTAATGTATTTTGCCCTTCCAGCATTATACTTCCCTCAGTTATGGCACTAAAAGTTTGACTTTTATTTCTGGTATAAATGTACAGTCAGGCTACAATAGGTAAACCGGTAGGCATCGTATGACTTCACATACCTTACTTTTAGCCACTCTAGGAGGAAGATTTAAGACAATAAACTGTGTTTTTGTAAGCCTAAAAAAATGCAACACCAAAGAAAATAGCTATACGGGGTGCAATTTCTATTATTTTGAATAGACCAATTTTCTCTCAGCAAAACACTTTTTTTTATGCCCCAGCTAGTAAATATAGTTTGGGCATTATTTTGATGCTGTGGCATCAAAAAAACAAAACTGTAATGGAGCTTAATTAATACAACCATGTAGCCATGACATGAAAGGTTGGTAGGCACTTGATCACATTGTCCTGGGATGTCAGGTACACCAGACAGACACGGCCCAGATTATTGTCTGGGACTGCAATACTTCATGTGCAAAGGGAACTGCCAGGATTTTGTTTATGAACTGTTTGTGGTCTGCTATACAAATTGTATCAGTTCCCTCCATAAAAGCACAAGTAGGGCCAAGTTTGATAGTAGACAGAATAGGCAACTGAATAGAGACATTTTTCTGGGAGAGCATAGATTGGAAGTGCAAAAGTGTTATTTTGTGTCTATGGATTACTCCCTAGCTGGATTGTGCTTTATATTTACATCATGCAATCAAAATTCCTACCCTACATTGTGCATTCATTCGCTTCACTCAACATTCACATCCTAGTAACGGTATTCACACACAACGGCTTTCACATTCTGCCCACTCAGTTTTCTACATATCTCATATAATGTGTTTTGGACAACAGCATTATTGCAATGTCAAGGGCCGTGAGATCTTCAGTCTCTATCTCAGTAATAGGCCTAACACCTGCACCAAGGAAGAGTTCTAACTCTGCATTTTTTGTGAGCAGCTCAACGCTTAAAACAAGTATTCCTGTGTCCTGCCACATTGAGCCACCTTCAATCCAGGAGCACAGGAAACAGTGAGGAAAATCACAGCTTCTCCATTCAGTATCAATCCCTCGTATAGCCTTCATGAAAATGCTAGTTCGGCCCCCTTATATTTTTCACTTGCAAAACAAAGCATAGGAATAGGAGGAGGATGGGGCAAGCATGGGCATCCTCTTGTTTGGTCATTAACAATGTTTTTAATATCATGCACTTTTCTTTGAGGTGCATTTTAAATTAACTTTTTAAACAGTAAACATATTTTCTGAATTTTAGGAGCATATCATATATAAATTGTATTGTATATATTGTATTGTTCCTAACCTGTTTTAGCATATTAATTATGACAAAGCAGTACTTAGCAATAGATTATGATGCTTATATTCTATGGTCTAATAAACAGATTTCTCTAGCTTTCTCAAGGGACACTTGCATTAAAATGCTACACTATTTTACAATGTACACAGTAATTAAAATGCACACAAACACTCACTGGAGAATAGAAGCAATTGGAGATGTATTTAAAAGCCATGTGTTGGTGTTTGCTAACATAACAAGAGGCTTATTTTATTGAAGGAGTACTAATTGCTGTTTCAATTTCTGTCAGTTAATTTTCTGAACACCTCGATCAGATAACGACAATCAATATTAATAGTCACTATGTGTGAGGCCAGGTACTTACTGCCTTCTCTCACATGTTTTTAACAATGTCTATAAATATACTTTATGGTTACAGTTGCCAGTCCCTCCGTTTTGAAACACAATATAAACAGTAAAAGGTTTTTACAAACCAGATTATTTGGATCGCAATATGTGCAATTCATGGATGTCTAACATCAAGCAAGGGTTCAGTCATTTTCAGTTGCCCAAAGCAGGTACTCATTGGACCCACTGGCGGATCCCCTGCCGGCTAATGCAGGGCTGGCGCTGTCCAAGCGCCAGCCCTGCAATGTGCCTTCATGGACCGGAGGGGAGATCAGAGATCTCCCTCTCCGGTCCGCAGGCACTGTTTGCTGGCCGCCGGCAGAGGAGGGAGAAAGAGAGGACCTGGGGGAGCTCAGTCTGCAGCTCCTCCAGGTCCTTCTCTCGCGAGCACGGAGCGTTGCTATGGCAACGCTCTGCATCTTGCGAGAGTGAACTCTAGCCCTGGAGACCGGGGCTAGAGTTCACTCTCACCACATGGACCACCAGGGATCGAGAAATGTCCCCCCTCCTCCCTAAACAAAGGTAAGAAGGGAGGGGGGACATTATGTATATTTTAAATTTAAAAAAAAGACATTACAAAAAAGTCCCCCATCCTTATCACACACATACACTGCCCCCACACACACACATTGCCCCCCACATACATAGACTGCCCCCATACACACACACTGCCCCCACATACATACACTGCCCCCATACACACACATTGCCCCACATACATACACTTCCCCATACACACACATTTCCCCACATACATACACTGCCCCATACACACACATTGCCCCACATACATACACTGCCCCATACACACACATTGCCCCACATACATACACTGCCCCCATACACACACATTGCCCCACATACATACACTGCCCACATACACACACATTGCCCCACATACACTGCCCCCATACACACACATTGCCCACACATACACACATACACTACTGCTCCCACACACATACACTGCCCACACACACACACACCTACACACACATTGGCCCCCCACACACAAACTTCCCCCCACACATTGCCCCCACTCACACTGCAACGCACACACACACTGCCCCCCTAACACACACTGCCGTCCTCACGTACACACTGCAACTTTCACACACACACACACACACACTGCTCACACAGTCCTTCTTACACAAACACACACACACTGCACCCCTGCTCCTATGCCCTACTACAGCCCCATTTCCAAGCAGACCTCAGGTAAGTTGTCAAACTGTTCTTAAACGGTTTGACTACTTACTCTGGGAGGGGGTCCCGGCACTACTGGCACCATAACCACTACACTGAGCTGTAGTGGGTATTGTGTCTGGATTATTTCTCTAAATAATCTGCAAGTGCCCCTCCCGAGGTCAGGCTCTGGATCCGCCACTGATTGGACCCTTTAAAGCTGTCCATGTGGATGAGGTAATACCTGCATCCCAGTTGTAGCAGAGCCTGCTGCCATCAGATTCTGAATCTTATACTGTCTGATTTGTGTGAGACAGGAGTTTAATGGCAGAATTTAGACCACAGAGCCCCCTAACTTGTGTTGCAAATCAATCCACCACCCACTGATCCACAGCTTAAATAAACAAAGAAAAAACAAGGTTTGAAGGTTTTATAGGACATAAGAAGCCATTGTTTGCATGCATTTACCTGCTTATCCATGAGTGGAACTGTCTGTGTGCGTGTGTGTTTGCATACATATGCTGTTCTAGTATGTATGTAAAAAAAAGCTTACCTAGGGCTCAAGTCAGGCCGGTAGTATATTAACCTTATTTAAGCAATATTGAATAAATAATATAAAGGTACGCACCTAAAGAATGTATGATGTTCAACACAAACTTTCCACAAACGCTTTGCAGCTCGATGGTTTGGTAGCTTAAATCCAATTGTGCTCTCGAATTGTTCAAACTATGAAGAGTGAAATACATTTGAAGATCAATGCATATTTATTGCCACCATGATATACAAAATATACATGGTTTAAAAATACAGATATTTGCTAGCTAAATCTATCTGTGAAATCCAGCAATGATTTTCATTATTTAGGGTATTTTAATTTATAGTGTACTTTCCCCAGTTAATGTACTTTCTGCTAACATAATTTGCCAGCAATTGATTTGTATACATTGGTAAAGGAGCACACCAACATTAAAGGAACACTATAGTGTCATGAATACAAACATGTATTCCTATAAAGCTATAAAGCTTGCTGGAATGCTACATTAGGTCCCTGACCCCCCACTCTCCGGAGATTAAATATTATTTTACTCACCTTTTCTCCAACACTGCAGTGGTCCCACCACCATGGCTGAGATCATCAAGTTTGATCATCTCAGCTAATCCAATGCTTTCCTATACAAAAACATTCAGAGACTAGTGCCCATGCGCAGCAAAATGCTGTACTGCAACAATTAGCATCTCATCATAAAGATGCATTTAAGTAATTCATCTCTATGGGGACCATTGAATGCCTCCATGCAGAGCATGAGTGCCACTAGAGGTGTAACCAGCAATGAAAACACTGCCTTTTCTCTGAAAAGGCAGGGTTTAGAGTACTAAGGCTGCGGGGACATGCTATAGACACCAGAACCACTGCATTAAGCTGTCATGGTCCTGGTGACTATAGTGTCTCTTTAAAAATAAATATATAATCTTTTTAACATTGAAGAGTTTCTAATTTTATTTTTGATTTAGAGCACCCATTTTTACATTAAAAAATAAACTACTAATCTAGCCTGAGACTATTTCCACACTACTGCTCTGTTCTACCACCGAAACAGGCCTATTCAATGCTTCTAATAAAGAAATAATGGGGAACAACAGCACACATGCTGCAATAACAGCACTCTGTCAGTAGAATGCTTCTCATAGAGAAGCACTTAACCCTCACTACTG